ATGCTATAAATTAAAAAATTAGTGCTTCAAATAACTGACTAACACTTCCATTTTTATATTACTGAGTAAAAAAAAAACATAAACAAAAATAAAGTAGTTATATATTATTTTTAGGGTTTTGGGAACAACAACACAGAACTTAATTCTTAACTTTCTTATAAATTTTATTTGTAAAAAATATGTTTTCAACAAATTCTAGTCCAACTCAAATAGGCTAGTCTAAATCTTCATCCACAATAGTACCCTTATTTCTTTTTATCAGAGTTGAAACAGATTTGGATTATGAACAGTAAAAAGATTTTCCTGGTTTTAATGAATATTTTTCTGAATAATAGTTTTAACATTTGTCATAACAAAATTATTAAAAATGTATTCTAATTATAAAGAAATAGTTTTTATCTTTTTGTATAAACTAATGGCTTTTTACATTCGATAAGAAAACTAATAAAGAATAACTAATTTATGTTGGAAAGCATCAAGATTTCTCATTTCAAAAGTTTACAAAAAATAAAGCAAGTTAGGTGCATAGTTACTTTTATCTTCAACTATTGATAAAAGTAGATATCCCATTTCCATACTCAAGCTCTAGCCACAGTTCCAGAACAAAAATAAAATTGATTTAAAATAAAAAGTTAAATTGAGCCAAGACATTGAATACTCTAAAGCATTAACTTAACTAAAAATAAAGGACAACTTAAGTTATAAATAAATAAAAGGCAGCATCTGCTATGTCAAATCAAATATCACAAAAAATAAATTTTGACGGCAAGTAGCTCATACTACATAAGTGGCTCATTTAACTATTATTATTTTTTTTTAAGTTGGCTACAGCTGGTCCACAAACGGGATGTCTACTTTGGAATTGTATAGCGCTTTGAGCTATGATACAGTTTTTAGAGAAATCCTGGGTGTTTTAGAACCAGGTGGGTCTTCAGATTGCCTCTTTGGTGGAAGGCACGGTCGCACACTTGGCATTTGAACATCGGAAGTTTCCCACACTCGAGTCGCTCGTGTTTCCTCAAACTTCGGCTGTGCAAGTACCTCCGACCGCACTGACGGCACTCCCATCTCGCTGCAGGAACAATTGTCGGATTTATAATGGTTTTACTAATAGTTTATCACAGCAAAGTTTAGCTAATAAAACTTTCTTTAGGTTCCAGGATCGTAATTTGATCAATGGGAAGGTTGATACTTGTCAATCACAGCTTACTGTGCATATCTACATTTAATGTATTTAATTCATTTAATTTGATATGAATAAAATAATTCACTTTCAAATACAAAATAAAATAAATTTAACAAATTGGTAAATAATTTGTCTATAAGTTTTTGTGCGTTAGATCTAAGTTTGGTCGAAAATGTATTACAGTGAAATAACAAAAATTGTGTAAATCTCAAGACCGACAAATAAAACACATGATAGGCAAACCAGGCAAGGGGAGTGATAACTTTTCCTTTCGAGGTGTAATAAAGAAAGAAATAAAAGAATTTTAGTTAAACCCAGTTAAACCCAGTTAAAATGTGTGAACTCTGACGACCTTCAGAAGACAATGTCCTTGTAAAGCCTGATGATGGCTCCAGTGTTCAGCTGAAACTAGTTGCAACCGCAACCACTTGGATTGTCAAAAATACAGGTATTTAAACACTATTGAAATTATTTTGTATTATACTTACTAGGATGTATTTTTTTCTTAAAACTGAATCCAGCCAACTGCTGACCTTTGAAGATGTTCCCAGAACACTACAGATGGTCTTAATTACTCAAAATATTATTTTATATTTTTCAACATGCATATGTTTATGTGTCGCCATATATGCATATAATTTTACAAATAAGTCACTAATCATTTTCAGATTTTTTTCAGACATCTTACATAAATCCTCACTCATGTAATTGTATAAATATAAAAATAGTGGAAAATAACAGAAAACATCACCTATAAAATCAAACAAGTGTAGCTAAGTTCAATTAAAAACTAAAATTTAAGTTTTTTATTTTTTATTTTTTTTATTTGGAATTTGACAAATGCATATGTGAGAAGTGAGAAGGCCAATAAATGCAAGGATGTCATAAATATCATTAAAAAAAGTATTGTCACTGGAAGACTTGTTAAGCTTGTATAATTTTAAACCAAAAACTTCAAATTAAAATATTTGGGAGAACTAGACACAGTACTAGAGATTTAAACAATTTAGTCCCCCCCTTACTTATACAGGGAAAATTGCAAACATGAAAAATTACAGATGTGAAGCTGTAAATAAAATAAATGCTAATGATCTATAATTTAAAAGTTAATTTTATTAGTGACCTATTTCAGATTTCTGTTTTCAATAAAACACCTTTACTACATAAGAATAACCTTGGTTCCCATTACAACATTGCCCATTACAAAAAAAAGGGTCCCTCCTAATGCATTGTATAAAAAAAATTCTGTGAATTTTTTTAATGCAGAGGTTTTATCTTCCACCCCAACTATTAATTTTCTTTTTTTAAAATATTTTTAAATTTTACTGTGCAATAGTTTTTTTTTATATGGCTTTTGATGCTAATTTTAGGTTTCATTACTGAGAAAAACTATTTAATATTTATGAAAAAATTATAAAAACTAGAAGTATTGGCTTCTTTTATATAATTTAACAAATTTAAAAACTAATGTTTTTAATGAGGAAAAATAATATTTTTTTTAAATTACTACAGTTAATTCTTTCAAATGTATGACCTTATGTATTTAATATTATGCTATTAGGTCTTAACCTCTGTACAAAATATTCTACCACTGAGCACAACAACAAAAATAGTTAGCAAAATCTTCCAAGGACAATTTTAATTAAATTTAAAATGTTTGTAGAGACTAAATTTTTAAAATATGCTTAAAGTTGTTTCTATGTGCTGAACTTAAACACACACTGTAAAACTTGGGCTAAAAGGCTAAAATTAAAATAGTTATGGATAAAATCAAACTTGAGATAAAAATACAAAACCCTTTATTGTATAAAATTTAGGATATCCAATGTCTTAAATCTACTTCTTTAAAACATATACTATAAACTAAAAATATGTAAAGCTTAAGGAGTTTAATTAACTGAAAGGGTCAGCTAAATAATATTTTAAGCAACATAGCATCAGAAATAAAATTATGGTTTATAACCATTAAACATGAATCCCACAACTCCTTGGATTGTATGCAGTTTGACTTATGCGATGTTAGCACTCGTTTTCTTAAAATTGTTGATATTTTTTTTTTATATTATGTTAGTATCAAGATTAGTAATACTGCCTCCTTAGTAAAAAGGTTTTGGTTTTTACTGTTATGAAAAATAGCTGGTGTAAATAATTTTTTAAGGGCTTCTAAATCCAATTTTACAATGAAAACATGGTAGGGTGTCTTTTGTAAAAACTAAAAACCATTTGCTTTTTGCTAAGAAAATTATTTATCGGACCCTTTCAACTATTGCACCGGTTCTCTAACTATCATAAAGCTTAAAATAGTTTGATACTATTTTGTTAAAATATAAATATTAAAAATAATACCATTTAGTGTGTCAAAATCATTAAAATAATACTATAATAAAATACTCATTACATAAACATAAATAGAGTTGTAAAACACAAACTCAATACAAATTCTTTTTTCAATCATACACAACTTAAAAGAGGGGTATTTTTAAAATTATAACGTTTTATGTCCATGACCAAAATGACTCAGAAATCATTTTTTTACAAACAATATAGAGTGCCATATTTAATTATCTAGGTTATTTAAAACATTAACAATTTTTAGCAGTATGACCAAATAAAAAAACCATTTTACATTAAAAACTTAGGCTACAGGTTATTACAAGTATTAACCTATGAAACAAAATATCTAATTAAAAGACTTTTCCTACAGTTACCTAACAATGTACATGTTCTCTCACTGATGTTAACATCACTGATGTTGACAATGTTAACATTGTCTCACTCTAATTACTTTGTCTCACTCACTCCAGATTTGCAACGTGAAGGCACGAAATAGTGAGCGCGTAACATGCAGACAAGGTCGTATGCGCGCGAAATACGTTGGCAGCACTGGCTGTAAATCAGCTGGTCAGCTGTTGTACTGTTGTATCATTAAATGTCATTATTAAAAGTTCACATCCTTGTAAAAATGTCACGTTTCTTTACAAATTTATTTGTTTTATGGTAACTGTAGGAAAAATATTATGTTCAACTCGAGTGCAAAGTGCAGTTGCCTCACTCGAGAAACCATTCCTCACTCGCCTACGGCTCGTGAGTAAGTATTTCTCTCGAGTGAGTCAATTACTCCCTTTGCTCACTAGTTGCACAAATAACTATTATTGAGCTACAAAATTATAATTTCTAGGAATTGAATGATTAATTATACTTAATTACCAATGAGATCTAGATTTTACGTATATAACTTAAATAGTCATGTTTTAGGACTTTTAACCATAATTACTAATACTTGAATAAATGATATCTTTGGTATTGTTAAAATAATAATTGATAAAATACTACTGCTGCAACTTGTTTGGACATTTAATAAAACTAGCCTAACAATGTCCGGTTTATCTTTCACTATAAAAGTCTTTATTTCAATCAAACTAAGAGATCTTTGTCACAAATGATAAAGCCATCAAAATAAATAAAATATAAAAAAACTATAAACTAAAGCATAACTTAAAAATAAAACACCATCCTCAAAACTACTATTGCACAAAATGTAATACTACAAATGAAATACCCTTGTTATTATATAGCATGTAAATACCACCAATATAGTAGAATGTACAAAATTAAACGGATATTGATAGTACAAAAATTCAATTCAGATAGAAATTAAATTAGTATCTAATTGTAATGAATTAGATCAATCACAGATTGATGAATAAAAACTTATACTCTAATATTTTTTTTAGTACATGTTGATTTAAACTAAAATCTCTATGGAGAACAAAGAGTTAGAAAATTCATTTGAAAGAAGATTCAACAAGCACCTTTGTTAACACTTTATAAAAGTTATAGATAGAGACTATGACAAATTAAGTATATACATATCGATTTATAATTCTCATTTAAAAAATAAATCTGAATAAGGCAGTGCACAATAAATATCGTTGGGTCCATTTTCATCAAAGTATCACAAACAATAAAAACTGGACCAGAGTCACTTAAAACAACTATATAAAATGTCATTTTAATTCTAAAAATAAACGTATATTGTTATCGTATACATAGTTAATATAGAGTAATACTGAAAGTCTTTAGTTTTTGAGTTCACTGGAACTTTTCACTTCTTCCTTGCAGAGGATCTCACTGCTGGAAAAAATAAAAGACTATTATTTCTTTTTAATAATTGTTGAAAATGTTCCTGAAAAATTAATTATAATTTCTACAGAGAGAACCCCTCTGTATAATATAAAAAAATGTACAATGTATAATATTACAAAATAACTGAGTTAGATTTTTGATACAAACAATTTTTGTAGCAACATAAGCTTCACAAAATAAAATAAAAAATGTAACAGTATTATTACACTTACAAAAAAAATGAGCAATCCAAAACTTTTATTTTTTAACTCCAACAAACAACTGTTCAAATAGACCACATAATATGTAAACAATACCATTAAAAATGTAAAGTTTTTTTTATTATTATATGTTATAACTTTACACTATTAAAACTTTCACTCATGAAAATGGTAATCTGAGGTTTTTAATTCGATGTTGTAAACTCAACTATGTTCGCCATCTTCGAAATAAGTGCATCTATATTATTAAAAGAATTTGTTGGTTTTTTGTGTGCAGCAAATTGACCCTTAAATATTTAATTTTATAGGCATATTGAATATCAATTTAAAGCTCTTATCCTCTAGATGTGCCTTTTGCTCGTTTGGTTAATATCCCATGAAAGCCCAGCCCTATAGGCTTTTAAAATTTCAGAGTTGGTGCTGAATTATGTTGTCTTGTCAATCATCTGAACTTTTCAAAGTTTACATTTTGTTTACATCAAAACAGATGGCCATGAAACAATTTTGTTTACATATAAAAAAATTGGGTTATCTTACAGCTGGAATACTTGTAAAATATTGTAATAGTATTTGTATAAAAAAGTAAATAAGAAAATTACTTGATTTAGATTTTGTGTTTTCATAGTATTCCAGTGATTCTAAAAATGTTTATGATTTACTCTGATCTTCAGAAAAATAACTTTACTGTTTAAGGTTTGTAATATTCCATGTAATTCTTTGTAAAATCGTTAGTGAAACATTTTACTTGTAATTTTTCACTTTTTATATGAAAAATCACTGCCCACCCCCAAGACGAAGAGTGGTTTCTAACCTAGGTTGTAGCAGGTTGGCGTGAACGTTGCGAATGTGACTGTCCAGATTGCCTCGCTGGTAGCACCTCTTGGGGCAGTACGGACATTGAAACCGAGGTTCCTTGCCGCAATGCAGTCGCTTGTGTGTGTTCAACCCTTGTTTCCACATATACGACTTGCCACAGTCGGGACACGTGTAGGGAGCCAATGGTTTCCCCTTCTCATCCGTCTCCCACGCTCCAGGCGGCCGCTCTGCCTCCTGGTCACCCCATTGCCACGGAGCCGCCCCCACTCCGACTTTCAATCTCATGGAGAGTAACTCCATCGCGAGCCGCTGTTGAAAGCCCAGCTTGGAGTTGTACAGCGAGAGAACTGAAATCATCCATTCCTCGTAAAATTGATTTAAATGTAGATTTGGTAGGAAATTTAACCACCAGGTTCTACGATGCACAGAAGAATAATTTAAAATCTTTATAAATCTTAATATTTAAAAAAATAAAAATTCAAGGAAATATTTTTGGTCTGATAAATGATATTGAGTTTTTACTTTTAATTAAAGAGATCAACAAACAAAATTTCAACAAAAATTATTATGTTAACTGACTCTTTAAGTTGTTGTAAATAAGTGTGCTTTCGCTTACCTGACCGTAATAATAAAATGTTTATTTTTTAAACTATTTGAAGTGTCATTCTATTTATTATGTTTGAGACATGTAATTTTTATTTTTAAAACATTCAAAGCAATGCTTGATCTCAATGCTAACAACTACACCAAATTTTATATTATGCAGTGCATGTATGCACTCTGCACTTAGTAACAAAATGAGTGCATTTAGTAATCATTCAAAGCAATATCAAAAGGGTTTGTTAAGAAGTAAAATCAAACAAAACCTACTGTAGTAATCAATCAAAACTTGTTTGAACTCAAATAAATGTGAGACAGTAATAGAAGAAATTTGGAATCAATATTTTTTATACAGAAGAAAAGAAATCGAATCAGAAAATGCCTGTACAGCAAAGCAAATAGGCCAAAAGAAAATTCCGTCTACAAGCATTATTTATATTCTTTAACAGGCCAACTACAGAAAACCTAAAATATGTAAAATATTATATTTACCTTTACATCCAGTTTATCAACGTAGAATGGTTGAAATTAAGGTCCATACTTTCTGCGTTTTGTACAAATTGGTCCTTGATCTTTTTTTCAAAGCTGGATGTTTTAAATACTTCTTTGACCATTGAGTGACAAATACTATTGTAATTTTTGTCTTGTACAAAAAAAATCCTAACTTATCTGTTGGCAAGTGAAATCTTATCCAAATGTAGAAGAACTTAAAAAAAATTCAGTCATATCTGAGAGTTTGGTAAAGTATTGAATTGTCAATACTGTAGGTGGATTAAAATCTTGAAAGCAAGATACAGGTATAATTGTTGTAAAAATATTTTTTCAAGCACATGAGACATGTTGAACTGTCTATTATTTACCTGATTTGTACAAAATATACAGTCTAAACATGATAACAAACCTTGATATAATGAATTCCTTGATATAACGATTTTTTTATCCCTAGAACACTCCATAAGACTCAATGTATATTTTACCTCTGAATAACGAACAAACCATATCAACAACCTTGATTTAACCATTTTTTTACAATCCCGGCTAAAATAATACACCTCAATATAACGAGTTTATCATGTCAGAACTTCTACATAGCGAATTTAACCTCTACTTAACAAATTGTCTGCGTCTTTCCCTCGATATAACGAACTCCTTCCACATTATTGTTTTTGAAAAATCACAGTTTCTTGATGGCTATAAAATGGTAAGATGACGTCAACGCTTGCGCAACATTCATCTGCACAAACTTCTGCTGTGCGCGTCACAATTATTTCATTCACCGAGGACTGATGACCGAGATCTTGTTTGTGAACCTCGATTTGGCAAAATTCCTGCAAACCTAACCTCAATATACCAAACCTCGTTTTAACGAAATCTTTGGTATGACAAATATTCATTTCAGTCCATTCAGATTCGTTAAACCGAGGTTGGACTGTATTTAAAAGATTGATCGTGTTACTAAATGGTTCCTGTAACAAACCTTCATTCACATATTTTCTTTAACTAGCAAATCAATACAACTATTTTTCTGTTTATAATTAAGGTTCAGTTATGACTTGTTGAGGTTATTTTATAGAACAGTATACACCCATGTGTCAATAATTAATACTATCTTTGAGACAATGTATTTTCTACTGAATAAATGTTAAGCCAAAGTAAATATTTTTTTAGCGTTTTTTTTTCTAACTGATTTGTGTGAAAAGAAGTCACTGGGTTAATCAAGGTGTTTAAGTCTTGTATAAACTCGTTTCTCTATTTTTTTTTTTTTTTTTTTTTTGACACTTTGGTTAGCATTAAAAGTCCCCTTGCTGTTTATGTGCTGTAGTTGCATTATTTCTGAGGCAAAGGTTTGCAAAATAACCAAACAAATTTCTAAAAATATTATATTTCAACACAAGCAAACAAAATGATGAATGCTTGCAAGGATATCCTGTGTTCACAATGATATAAAACTGTTAAAATATTATTATCAAAATAACTATAAGAATATATATCTAACCATACAAAATTTCATCATAGTTATCTTATTTCACAAAACTATTAATTAACCATAGCATGAAGTATTAGAGGAAAAGGAATCAAGCTAAGTAAATGTTATGTAAAAAAGTATTAAAAATTGTAATTTTAATGATCAATGGATCACAAGTCTTCCTTTAAAATATCTTCTGAAAACTACAGTTTATAATTTACTCTCACATTTTTGTATAACATTTAGAATTATTCGTTTCTACAAGAATGAATTTTAGCGTTGAGTACAATGTTTTCTTTGCTGATAGCCAAAGTTCCCTTGCATCGATATTCCTTTCGCCTCTTAAAGACGCACATCCAATATAAGGTTCCATGTTCTGAACGTTTATTCAAATAATATTGATATCCTTCAGAAATCAACCCAGGGGTGCCTCTCGAAGTCGTGAAGTACTCCACTTTCTTTGGTACCCATTGCTTACCTAGATCAGGAAATATGTTACTTACTAAGAACAATACGAAATAAGATTGCCCAAAATTTCATAGAGGTCAATTGTCAAATAATAACTCAATGTAAAAAAAATTTACAGGCTTAGGTAAAAACTTGTACTTTGGTAAAAAATTGTCTGAAAAAGGAAACACATACATACTAACATCGTGTAATTTAACAGCTATACAAACCTGAAAAAACTAAAGTTTGTAATACAAAGAATCAAATGACTTGAAAAATCTGAGTTCATACCATCGGAACACTTTTCAAATTGGAATAGACGTATCAAGATCCTCATGAACAACATCCTCGACTACCTCAAATTCCGAGCATTCAATAGGTTGTTCGTCTAGATTACCGGTACATGAATGGTGTTTAGCTGCCAGTACAACATTATCTTTGCTAATAGCTAAAGTTCCTTTGCACCGATACTCTTTCCAATGTTTGAAAGCGCACATCCAATAAAGGGTCCCGTTCTTGGCAGTTTTGTTCAAATAATATTGATGTCTGTCTAGGGCAAGACCAGGTTTTCCTCTTTTTGTCTTGAAATACCGCACCTTCTTTGTTATCCATCGTCCCCCTAGGTGATCAAACAGATTATTTGAGTGATGTGACTATGTCATTTAAAACTATGCGTAGTTCAATATTTAATTCATATCTTGGTATGGCTTGTATCATATTTAATGTGCAGTATTAGATTACCTGAGTCTCACTTTTTTTACGAATGAGTAGCCTTCAATTCAATTATTATAATTGTTTACCTAAAGGTTGGCGGCCTCTTTTAACCTTTTATTATAGCTCGTCCAATTATCATTATCAAATAAGATGGGGACGCCACCTAGGTGTGTATTTTTACCCAAATATGAGTGAAGGCTGAGTGTAGAATGGTGTGAGAAGATCTGTGTAGCTTTGTTACTGACTCAAATCAGCTGTTTCATTAGCCAGTAAATTTATTTAAACCAAGCGATCACGGACAGGTGGATCCAGTTTCGAGCCATCATAAACTTCTCTCAGAATTGATCCGGCAACCCAATTACACCTAATTATGTTAATGTCTGTATAATTAAACCCATAGATCAATACATTAGAAATCGACAGTACTGCGGCAAATTTAATTTTGTTATCCTAAATTCATAGACAATAGGAAAAACAAACCAGAAAATAGTCACAGCAGTTAGTTAATTAAAATCTTTATCCTAATATGACAGGTTGAAATTCCAGCCAGATTCAAATAAAATAACAAATTAATTTAATTTAATATATGACAGGGTGGACCTCCACATTAACTTTAAAATGCTGTTTTATTTTGTCTTACATTTTAAACTGTACCAAACTGAAGCGGTTGGTTTTATTGTAAATAACACTATCATTAATTCTCCATAACAAATTTAAAGTTTTGAGAAATTATAAGAAAAAAGTTTTTGTATTTTTAATATTTTTTATAATTTTGTAAAATCAGCACACTCTATGAAATACTTGTCCCGTTATCAACTGGCAACAGCTGGTTTATAACCCTAATTCATTCAAAGTCAATGAATAGTATGACAAAACCAATTATTTGCATCCCAAGAGTAAAGAAAATGTCCACTTGTTCAATAACCTCGGGTTAGGAAAAAAAAACCAAGAGCCAAGGATAAAAATTTACTTGCATACATTTATATAGGAACAATCATATAATTATAAAGTTTTTGTGAAACATGTTTGATACAGTGACACAATATTGGATTTTAACAAATTAATCATAGAACACTGTTATACTCAGTAAAACTAACATAAAAAGCAACACATTTAAAAATATGCATTGGATATTTTTAATTGTTGAATATGTCCACAAAATGTGTAATAATTTACAACACTATCAAATAAATTAGGTACCTACTACTAATAGTGTGGAATCTATTTTTTATGAGCTATATCTATTTTAACTTTGTGTATGCATATGATAAGACTACTGTAAATTCTGGTGCTTTAAAACAAGTTGAAGACTACAGAAATTATTACACTCACTTTTCTTTTTACTAAAAATATTTGTTAAGCCTGGAATCTAAAAAAAATTAAATCCGAAATATTAGATTATCTTTTCTAACGAATTTTAAATCACAAAGGATAATTAAGTATAGTGGTTTCAAGCACCAAAAACAAAACCTAGCGTAATTATAAGACATCTACAAGTTCTTGGAATGTTTAAATAATCAATTAGATTTTAAACAACTTTTAGGCTAAAACACTAGGTAGCTCATTCTAAATTGTTGACTAGTGATATTGACACAGCCAGATAACAAAAATATGTAAAAAACTTAGGTTTATTAAATATATACATCAACAATAAAACTAGAACAAATATAAATAGAAACTATATTACCTATGCCAATAAAGTTTTTACACTCAATAAGAATGTT